GTATCTTCGTTTCTTTTTATTAATAGCTGTATCATATTCAGGATGTACGAGACAAATAAACTAAAATTACGGCCAAAAAACATATATGTTGACCGAAAACTTTTGAGTGAAAATAGGTAGACGTTGATGGTTGCGCTGTGTTGTATTCACAAGATATCGTGCCTGAGATTCGAGTATACTGACCTTTTTCAAAATTTTTGAGCCTGCCAAATTATTGGCTTTCACTCAGAAACTGCAACTAAGATCTGTTCAGCATAATTGCAAACTATAGGTCGGCGCTGTGGGTGTTGAAAAAACAAAAATGTGCACGTGAAAGCATCTGTATAAGTAATTAGTCACCTTAGCCTACTCAGATACGCCAAAATTTCCATTCGACATAATGATTGAACAGATATGTAGACATGTCTAATTCTTGGGATACAGAAGAGTTTAAACTACGTGAATAGAATACATACATCTAAAATTACGTGTGCAGAGGAAAAGATTTGATTATTAAAAACTGAATTTTACATCTTTTGTTCTAACATCTTTTTTTAACAGGTTTAGACACAAAACCTGTAGATGGGATATTTTTTTAATCAACTCATCTCAAGCAAGACAATACTCCCACGAAGTCGCAAGGGTATACTGGGAGTGAAAGAGAATGAATAGAATTTAGAAGGAACTGGAAACCCAATCCTAAGCATGAAACAAGGGATAAACCTCTACTCTTGTTTGAAAAACCCGGGAGGTGTGTGAACCGGAATATGGAAAAAAAACCTTTTTATTCCTAATGAGGAAAAAAAAATAGTAAATATTATAAAGTTTAGTTTTTAATCAACTCATCCCAAGCAAGACGATACTCCCACCAAGTCGCAAGGGGATACTGGGAGAAAAGAGAATGAATAGAATTTAGAAGGAACTGAAACCCAATCCTAAGCATGAAACAAGGGATAAACCTCTACTCTTGTTTGAAAAACCCAGGAGGTGTGTGAACCGGAATATGGAAAAAAAAAACCTTTTTATTCCTAATGAGGAAAAAAAAATAGTAAATATTATAAAGTTTAGTTTTTTAATCAACTCATCCCAAGCAAGACGATACTCCCACCAAGTCGCAAGGGGATACTGGGAGTGAAAGAGAATGAATAGAATTTAGAAGGAACTGGAAACCCAATCCTAAGCATGAAACAAGGGATAAACCTCTACTCTTGTTTGAAAAACCCGGGAGGTGTGTGAACCGGAATATGGAAAAAAACCTTTTTATTCCTAATGAGGAAAAAAAAATAGTAAATATTATAAAGTTTAGTTTTTTAATCAACTCATCCCAAGCAAGACGATACTCCCACCAAGTCGCAAGGGATACTGGGAGTGAAAGAGAATGAATAGAATTTAGAAGGAACTGGAAACCCAATCCTAAGCATGAAACAAGGGATAAACCTCTACTCTTGTTTGAAAAACCCAGGAGGTGTGTGAACCGGAATATGGAAAAAAAAACCTTTTTACTCTTAATGAGGAAAAAAAAATAGTAAATATTATAAAGTTTAGGCAGGGGTAGTAAAATTACAGATTTGAAGTAAACATTAGAAGGAACCGGAAACCCAATTCTAAACAGGAAACAACAAATAATCTCTAGTCCGGTTCATATGAGATGGGAGGAGTGTGAACAGGAGGATAGGCGAACCTGTCTACTCCTATTAAGGAAACAAAAAATGAATAAGTAGCAAATAAAACTTCAGATTTTTGTTGGAGGTTTTAGAAGTATAGAGTTAGATTTTAGAAGGAGCCGGAAACCCAATCCTAAGCATGAAACAGGGGATAAATCTCTACTCTTGTTCAAATAACAGGGGTGGAGTGTGAAGCAGGCGATAGGCAAACATATCTACTCGTATGGAGGGAAAAAATACAAACATAAAAATAAAACATAAAAAGTAAATAAAATTACAGAGTTTAGGCGGAGATGTTGCATATAAGAAAATAGGGATAAAAAACAGAATGAAAGATAAAATAACATTAATAACAATAAAATGGCGGTGTGTTCCCAGGTGCGGGATTAGGAATCTGTTATTGTATTATTAACTATTAAGTTTTAATTATTAAAAGTTAAAAGTTGTAATAACTCCTATCCTTAACGGGCAGAAAATTAATTTACTCTTCTCACAACAGAAATTTTTCCAGCACATATTTTAAGGTTGGTACGCAAAAGAGAATCTTTAACAAATTTGTCAGTCAGATAAGATTGCAAATGCAGCAAATGCAGCAATCTGGGGACAAATATTTTTAATAGAATCAAAAATTAATTCACCCCATAAAATCACTAAGAGGCAACGGGCCACTGTGAATGAAACAAAATTAAAAACTTTAGAAGGAAAAGGAAATCCAATTGTAAACATGAAACAAGGGATAAACCTCTAATCCTGTTCAAATGACCCGGGAGGAGTGTGAACCGAACGATAGGCAAACCTTTCTACTCCTATTAAGGAAACAAAAAATAAATAAATAGTAAATAAAATTTCAGAGTTTAGGCGGAGACGTTAGAAGTAGAGAGTTGAAGTAGACTTTAGAAGGAACCGGAAACCCAGGAAACAAGGAATAGAACATTACTCTTGTTCAAATAAAAGGGTTAGAGTGTGAACCGGGCGATTGGGTTTAACTAACGCCTTTATAAAATGTGCCATGTGTTCTCAAGGGTTAGATCCAGTGACAGGACCCAAAGTGTGTGAGTTCAATACCCGGTTAAGGCAGTGGAGAACTTGGAGAGAGGAATTAATAGGAGATAACTGACATCCATTAAACATGGCTCGTGGAACTAGAACAGTCTACCACAGTGAGCGAAATAAAGGGTTCATTTCGAGACTCCAACCACCTGAAGATGGACGGATCGTAATACGGCCGAAACGTTGTGATAAATATGGCGACAAAGATGAGGACAATAGTCCGAATAATGTAAATAGTGTACATGATACCTCATCTCAGAAATATAGACAGATACTGAAAGGCAGAAACGTTGTAATAAATATGGCGACAAAGATGAGGACAATAGTCCGAATAATGTAAATAGTGTACATAATACCTCATCTCAGAAATATAGACAGATACTGAAAGGCCGAAACGTTGTAATAAATATGGCGACAAAGATGAGGACAATAGTCCGAATAATGTAAATAGTGTACATAATACCTCATCTCAGAAATATAGACAGATACTGAAAGGCCGAAACGTTGTAATAAATATGGCGACAAAGATGAGGACAATAGTCCGAATAATGTAAATAGTGTACATAATACCTCATCTCAGAAATAGATATATTTTGCTAGAAACAAGAAAAAGAGTACTAAACTACGTGATATCTGTCCTTTTGTATGGCAATGGGTGCTGAAAAATGAAGACTTGAAGCAACAGAAATGTGCTTCTACAGAAGGATGCTGAGGATACCATGGACCAGACATGTGAGTAAAGACGAAGTATTCAAGAAAATGGAAACAAAACGGAGGCTTATGCTTAACATCTGGAAGAGGAAATTAAGGTTTCTGAGAACCTAATGAGAAAGAACAAAGAAAAATTCACTGTCGAACAAAAACTAAGCCATCAGTTTTATGACCAACGGTTGAATAACTGCATTAGATTTTATTGCTTTGGGTTTTGTCTTGAAGCAGGTTCAGATCAATCAAACTGCGTCCTTTCCCTCTTTATTTACAAACCTTTTTTTATTAAATTATTTTAATTGCTTTAAAATAAAATAACATTGAAATGAGATGCTCTTAGTAAGTGGACATCAGATTTGATTACTTCGTGGATGACTGGCTTTAAGTACAATGCTGGCTATTGAAAATCTTTATTTCGATGGGAAAAGACATTCCACGGATAAGGTAGTTATGGATATGTGTTCGAACATCTATCTATCTATCTATCTATCTATCTATCTATCTATCTATCTATCAGCATTATAGATGAAAAATAAATAAATATACTGATTAGTATATATATATATATATATATATATATTGTCATCCACAGACGGACTGTTTCGCTGTATTGCAGCTCATCAGTGACGTCCGGAGGTTAATTTAGACGTATTTATTTTTAGATAAACACATATTGACTGAGAGAACTCGATTCGATTTACCGAAGAGTTGTGCGTATATATACAAGTTAACACTGAAGTTAACACTCAGATAAACGCAATCATCAGGTCACACACACACACACACAAACACACACACACACGGAACACAAAACACACATATATATATATGTATGTGCATATGTGTATATGACAATGTTTGAATGACAATATACATCTATATATATATATATATATATATATATATATATATATATATATATATATATATATATATACTATAAGTATATGATTGGTGTATACGAAATAAATTCCAATAACCAACAATTACTATTCTTAAAAAGAGTGCTCAATTCAGAGCGAATATAATTATGATAGTGATGATGTTGAACGTAGATTGTAGAATTCTACAATCTACACTCATCATCATCATTTGATAAGACACCAGAGGTGTTGAAACAAAATGGGTGTTTTTGTAGTGATTTTATAACATATTTATGCTATAATTTTTAAATAAATAAATAATATATATATATATATATATATATATATATATATATATATATATATATATATATCAGGGCAAAGACGTATGACAAAATAGAAAAAGATTTCGTGCGACGCGGTCCCTCCATTAAGATCCCATCGGACTCAGTTTATTTTTACGTCGATGCGAGTACGCTTGCGCACGAACGAGAAACGCTGGGAATTTTAATTTGAAAAAATATTTTTTATGTTTTGTGTACACAATCTGGATGATTTCATTTATATTATTTTTCTTTTTTTAAACACAGGTTCAACGATCATAATTAAAGAAAGTGTATAAATTCACGCATATAAAAAAAAACAAAACATTTTTTTTCATTTTTCAGTTGTGTACACGCCAGACAACGTTGTGTTCGAATGGGATGACGGAACGGCCGTCACCCACAATAAGAACATGGAACTTTCCCAGTTCACGATTGACAACATTACTTTTGGGAAATGTCATAGAGATTATGAAGGTAAGTTTTTCGATATGTCTACCCACCGATTTCTCGAGTTCTGTGTCAGTTCTGGTCGTTTTCCTAACGATGCAGTGAAAATCTATCCCTGAATTTGAACAGCAATTGAGTTGAGAAACTATTACATTTGAAACTATCATATTTGAATCTATCACTTTTAGAATTATCCCACATGAAATTATAACGTTTGAAAGTATCCCGCTTGAATCTATCATGTTTAAATCTTTAACGTTTGTCTCTATCACGTATGTATCCATCAGGCTTGTCTCTATCACGTATGTATCCATCAGGCTTGTATCTATCACGTATGTATCCATCAGGCTTGTATCTATCACGTATGTATCCATCAGGCTTGTATCTATCACGTATGTATCCATCAGGCTTGTATCTATCACGTTTGAAACTCATTCGTCAAGTTGTTCTTTTTTTTTATCCATCAAAAGTACCTCGATACTTACTGTCTAAACGAACATGTATCCATCAATTGGTTTTCTTCATTAATCTTTCACGTATTGTTATCTATCAAACACTTGAAACTGTCTTTGATCACGAACCTATCCATCAGGCTTGTATCTATTTCACATGTTTTGAAACTCATTCGTCAATCTATCAGGTTTAAAATCTTTTTTATCTATCAAATGATTTGTATCTATCATGTTTGAAAGTACGCGTTTCGATACTAACGTGTCTTAAACGAACAACAAGAATTATCTAATGAAATTGGTTTTTCTTCATTAATCTTTCGACAAAGACTTGTTACTGGAGGAAACACTTGAAACTGTCACGTTTGAAAGTATCACATTTGAACCTAATACTTTTGAAACTATCACGCTTGTATCTATTTCGTTTGAAAGTATCATGTTTGAGTCTATCACGTTTGAAAGTATCATGTTTGTATCTATCAGGTTTGAAAGGTTGTATCTATCATGTTTGAAAGTATCGCGTTTGTATCTATCATGTTTGAAAGTATCATGTTTGTATCTATCATGTTTGGAAGTATCATGTTTGTATCTATCATGTTTGAAAGTATCATGGTTGTATCTATCATGTTTGAAAGTATCATGGTTGTATCTATCACGTTTGGAAGTATCACGTTTGTATCTAACGTGTTTGAAAGTATCATGGTTGTATCTATCAGGTTTGAAAGTATCACGTTTGTATCTTTCAGGTTTAAAAGTATCTCGTTTGAATTTAACTCGTTTGAAAGTATCGCGTTTGTATCTAACGTGTTTGAAAGTATCATGTTTGTATCTATCATGTTTGAAAGTATCACGTTTGTATCTAACGTGTTTGAAAGTATCATGGTTGTATCTATCAGGTTTGAAAGTATCATGTTTGTATCTATCACGTTTGAAAGTATCATGTTTGTATCTATCATGTTTGGAAAGTTTGTATCTATCGTGTTTGAAAGTCATGTTTGTATCTATCACGTTTGGAAGTATCATGGTTGTATCTATCACGTTTGGAAGTATCACGTTTGTATCTATCATGTTTGAAAGTATCATGTTTGTATCTATCATGTTTGAAAGAATCATGGTTGTATCTATCATGTTTGAAAGTATCATGTTTGTATCTATCATGTTTGAAAGTATCGCGTTTGTATCTATCATGTTTGAAAGTATCATGGTTGTATCTATCACGTTTGGAAGTATCACGTTTGTATCTAACGTGTTTGAAAGTATCACGTTTGTATCTTTCAGGTTTAAAAGTATCTCGTTTGAATTTAACTCGTTTGAAAGTATCACGTTTGTATCTCTCACGATTGAATCAAACACGGTTGAATCTATCACATTTTAAACTGTCACGTTTAAAACTGTTTCGTCGTTGATATTCGCGTAAAAGTTTTCTCTTTTACAAAATGATTTGTACAATAGAACACTCGATATATACATTGGTATTATAAAAAACGAAGATTAAGAATTATCTGATAAAATACGTTTTTGCTCCTTTATTTTGCGACAAAGTCTTGTCATTGGAGAAAACACACACACATATATATATATATATATATATATATATATATATATATATATATATATATAATATAAAAATAAAAACAGACCTCTTTAAGGTTCCATGTAATAAATTATTTCACCATATTTTTTTTTCATTTTTTGTTTGGAAGTAAAGTCTGATGATCCGCAGTCCTTTAAAAGGACTGTGGTGAAATAATTTATTACATGGCACCTTAAAGTGGTCTGTTTTTATTTAAATTATTTGCTCTGGATTTACATTGAGCTCTCTGGATTTTATCCTCCTTGTGTTTACCCATACGAATTAACTAGTTTTTCATAAACTAAATATATATATATATATATATATATATATATATATATATATATATATGTGTGTGTGTGTGTGTGTGTGTGTGTGTGTGTGTGTGTGGTGTGTGTGTTTTGCGCCCCGCATATGTGTGTGTGTGTGTGTGTGTGTGTGTGTGTGTACAGGGTGTCCCCCAAAAGTATACGCACTTTAAATAATTATAAAGTCAGTGTTTATTAACATACATTTCATTTTCAAAATTTAATAGATTCTACAGACATTATGTTTAAATTCCTTTTGTCATCACTTGTTTTCAAACTGACCTCCGTTCTGGTCTAGGTACTGCTGACAACTCGAAGCAATGGAATCGCAAACATCACCAAACATTTTTGTGCATTCTCGTTCAATGGCTGCTCTCAATTCAGCGACTGTTGTAGGTTTTATAGCATAGACTTTGTCTTTTAAGTATCCCCATAAAAATGTCTAGTGGTGTGGGGTCTGGTGAACGCGGAGGATATTCTACGAAACCCCTTCGTCTAATCCACCTGTTTGGAAAGATATCATCAAGGTAGGATCTAAACCTACACTTCGGTCTGGATCATCATAGAATGGACTAATCTTGAAATATAACTTTTCCATTGACAGCGCTTCAAAATGCGTTGAACAGACGATTTTGAAATGCCACCTCATATATAATTTAAATAAAAACAGACCTCTTTAAGGTTCCATGTAATAAATTATTTCACCATATTTTTTGCCGCGCAGATTTTCTTGATCTTTCCGTTTCAAGTACTCTTTCTTTTTGCCGCGCAGATTTTCTTGATCTTTCCGTTTCAAGTACTCTTTCTTGCTTTGCCGATGTTCGCGGTCTTCTGGAACGTCTCTCCTGGACATTCTGAACAGGTCCATCGGCTTCAAACTTATTTCTAATTTGAGTGATGGTATGTCGCGTTGATGGATCTGTTTAAAACGCCCTAGTAAACTATATTTGCACTTCAACTGGGTTAACCTGCTCCCAGTAGCATTTTAGAATGAGTTTCCTTTGTTCAAAGATAGCTTGACTGCCAACATTAATTCTAATGGGCTTAACCTGGAAACAAAGAATAACATCAATTAAGCTATCAGCTTTTAAAGTGTGTATACATTTTCAGGATACCCTATCTATCTATCTATCTATCTATCTATCTATCTATCTCTCTCTCTCTCTCTCTATATATATATATATATATATATATATATATATATATATATATATATATATATATATTTATGGTAATACTCGTTTTGAAAGAAACAAGAACATAAGACTGTATGAATCTTCTCGTCAAGTGCTTGAGCTCCAAGTCCCAAAAAACAACCTCAAAACGAGTAAAAGACTAAACGTAAAAGTAGAGCAAAAAAAGTAGAAAAAAAAACTAAAACAATCCTAAGGAGCCAGATAAACCTACCTAGGTTTCACCTAAACGGATCTTCAGGGTAAAATTGGCAAAAAAAAAGGCCACGGTTTTATTTGGTTTTATCAATAAATATTGTTTCATTATTTGCCTTTTAGCCAGTTTTACTCTGAAGATCCGTTTAGGTGAAACCTAGTTAGGTTTGCCTGGCTCCTTAGGATTGTTTTAGTTTATATATATATATATATATATATATATATATATATATATATATATATAATTAAAGAGATTTTTTTTAAAATTACGTCTCTTTTTGAAAGGAAACTATTTTAATTTTCAAAGAATAGTTGATATTAAAGAAGATAAATTTTGAATTTTACATAAAGTAATGAAAGTATGCAACTGTTATTCTTCAGTCAAAATAAACAATGAATTTGAACCAATGATAAAAAATATCTTTGAAAAATTTGAATTTTTAAATTAATTAAAATAAACCCTAGCAATACCCGGGTTTTAATGACGTAAGCACATTTTCAAACGTGACCTGTTTAAACAAACTTCAAATTCATGGATCGATTTTACACTGTATACGTATTGAATCGATAACTAATCAATATTTTTCGATTCTGATACATATCGTGGCCAAAAGGAAGTCTAAAGATTGCTAATCAGCAAGAATTATTTCTAAAAAGATATTTCTCTGTCTTTTTTTTTTTTTACTAGTGGACCAATCTAATTAAGAAGAGTCTATTTCTTTTTTTTTAATCATTAAATATTTTCTTTCTTTTTTTTATATTTCAGAAAATAATTTCACTTGTATATCAACGAGTTTTCATTTACAAAGAAAATACGCCTACTATATGCTGCACGCCTACCTTCCTAGCACCCTCATTGTCGTAATTTCATGGCTCTCCTTTTGGTTACCGACTGAATCTACAGCCGCCCGCATCTCGCTAAGCAGTCTTACCATCTTGACAATGATCACCCAGAGACAGAGTAACAGTGGGAACTTGCCGCCAGTCTCCTATATAAAAGCTATAGACATATGGACGGTGGCATGTTTACTCTTCGTGTTCGCTGCTTTTGTCGAGTATACGCTAGTTTGCTTCTTTTCCAGACAAGACTGTCACACCCTTACTATCTCTCTGACTGGAGCCAAAGAGAGTATATTCGCAACTGTATCAAGTCAAGTAAGTTTCCTTTCTTTCTTTTGATTTGTTTCCTTTTTCAATTTCCCTAGAATCCTAAATAAGAAAATAAAATGTAGCAAAAAAAAATAAGAAAAAAAATAGTATAATAAATGCTACTCAGAACTGCATATATGATATACCATGTAGATGTAAAAGTTATTGAGCTACATCCTATTAAATATATCAAGGAAAAATACAATGGGAAAACTGTAGTTTTAGACGACACGCTTCGTCCAATGTGTGTTTTTTCCTTTCTTTCTTTTCATTTGTTTCCTTTTTCAATTTCCTAGAATCCTAAATAAGAAAATAAAATATAGCAAAAAAAAAAAAAATATAGTATAATAAATGCTACTCAGAACTGCATATATGATATACCATGTAGCTGTAAAAGTTATTGAGCTACATCCTATTAAATATATCAAGGAAAAATACAATGGGAAAACTCTAGTTTTAGACGACACGCTTCGTCCAATGTGTGTTTTTTCCTTTCTTTCTTTCATTTGTTTCCTTTTTCAATTTCCCTAGAATCCTAAATAAGAAAATAAAATATAGCAAAAAAAAAAAAATATAGTATAATAAATGCTACTCAGAACTGCATATATGATATACCATGTAGCTGTAAAAGTTATTGAGCTACATCCTATTAAATATATCAAGGAAAAATACAATGGGAAAACTGTAGTTTTAGACGACACGCTTCGTCCAATGTGTGTTTTTTTCCTTTCTTTCTTTTCATTTGTTTCCTTTTTCAATTTCCCTAGAATCCTAAATAAGAAAATAAAATATAGCAAAAAAAAAAAAAAATATAGTATAATAAATGCTACTCAGAACTGCATATATGATATACCATGTAGCTGTAAAAGTTATTGAGCTACATCCTATTAAATATATCAAGGAAAAATACAATGGGAAAACTGTAGTTTTAGACGTCACGCTTCGTCCAATGTGTGTTTTTTTCCTTTCTTTCTTTTCATTGTTTCCTTTTTCAATTTCCTAGAATCCTAAATAAGAAAATAAAATATAGCAAAAAAAAAAAATAGTATAATAAATGCTACTCAGAACTGCATATATGATATACCATGTAGCTGTAAAAACTATTGAGCTACATCTTATTAAATATATCAAGGAAAAATACAGTGGGAAAACTGTAGTTTTAGACGACACGCTTCGTCCAATGCGTGTGTTTTTTTTCATGGCAAAAAAGGAAATGAATTTACTGAAACAGAGTATAAACAACAAAGAAAACGTCGTTAGCAACAAGAAGAATTTAGAAACGCTATTGTATATTCATATAATCAACTAAAAAATTACCTCAATTACTTTATATTTAAAGAGAATATTTTTACGTGTGGAAATATTGTTAAGATTTATTGCGTAAAATGCACAACTGTGGCACAAGGCCGAAAAGGTAGGGGGAAATAGGGTTGAGGCTGGTAGTCACTTACTATCCTATACCTAGCTAATCCGATTCATGACATATTCATTCGTTACCATTGAGTCATTCACCACAAAAACTCATCCATCGCCATTCAATCCTCCATATACCATAATACAGCATACTCTTACAAACAATGTTTGTATTGTTGTGTTGATGGGTTCAACAATTTTTTTTTGATTTCTTAATATATTTCTTGTGTACGTTCGCTTGGAAGAATAGTGATTCTGTTATGAAAGGTGAAATTGGGAAAAAAAAACTGAGCGTCAATTAATATTTGGATAATATTCAACGGCGCACTTTCGAGGATTTTCTCTCTGAGTGAGTTATTTATTTTATTTTTTGAGTGTATCATATATAAAATCAAAATTGTGATTGAATTCCTTTAAATATTATCATCCAAGATGACACAGTTCTCAGTTTGAAAAGATGCATGGCCATGAACTGCATGCTTAATATAAGACAGAATCACAATATTATTTTCTTTAAAATAAGTGATAATATCTCCCAAAATCGTTTACTGTGTAATCTGTGAAGAGCTATGATCAATCACCTACCATTTGACTCAAGTGTAAACCGGACATATGTTGCAAATCGAGCCTAATTCTACTTTTTGATTCCTTACAAACTGGATCTACGTCTTTTAAACTGTCGTGTAAACCGAACACATGTATACTCTTTTTAATCTTGTGTAAGTCTGACCAATGTCTAACGTTCTGACTCTTGTGTAAAGCGGGCCTATGTCAATACTTGGGTCATTTAAAGAAGAATAGAAGTCTTAGGTGATACAAAATCACAATGTATTAATAGATACGTACACATAGACCAGAATGACACAAGAATCAAAAGGCTAAACATAGCACAGTCTCATTTGAGGAGGTAGACAAACCTTGCTCAAAACACCCAACGTTAAAACTGGCCGTGTGCCACATCTTACCTTGTGGAGAGGTTGGTAAATAGAGGGTTAGAAAGATCAATACAGACCCGCTTTATGCAAGACTTAGAAAATAACATGTGTCAACCAGACCATTGTCTAGCTTTTCGATTCGTGTGTAATTCAGGCCTATGTCTACCTATATATACATTGTGATTTTGTTGCCCTCTAGTCGACTTTAAATGAGTTTAAATAACCCAAGCCTGTCGTTAAATTACCCAGCCCTCTATTCAACCAGTAAATCAACTAGCGAGACAAAATATCTTACTGTAATTCCCCATGTATAATACACCTTCATCCGTAATACGCACCCCTAAAATTGTGTTGAAAGTATGTGAAAATCCTTCTACTCACGCATAATACGCACCCCTTGTTTGGTAATCAAACCCTATAAATTGTGCTTCTCCAATTTCATCATGGCCAGCGTTTCCTAGTCTGATTCAAGCTGTAATTGAAAATAATTATCAAAAATTCCGATCACCACGATTCTAAAAGCAAACGGAAATACCTTTATTGTGCCTACTGCGCAGACTCATTAACCTGTTTTTGTTCGATAAAAGAGCAATGTAGTTTTTCACAATAAATGGTTTAAAACATAGAATAGCATTATTTTAAGTTAATTTTATGATAATTCTTATTTTATTTTAAATTTGTAAGTATTGTTAGGTACATACGATTGTATTTCACATCCTTATGGGTTCGCAATCGCCAAATATTAGTGTCAAATTGTCGTATGTTTGTAGTGAGTAGTCACTTCACAATTGAAATCGACCTATAAAACGGCAATTTTTAAAGATTTTTTATAGCTGTGGATAATACGCACCCATAATTTTCTTAATATTTTTTTTAGAAAAAAATGTGTATTATATATAGGGGCATTGTAAAATCTGTGATCGTCATAGTGTATTTAAAGATGAAACATTCATAATGTGAACATAAATTTCCCTTACAAATGAGGAAAGTTTTTTTTTTTCTTTAAGGTTGTCGAACATTCTTTTATTTTTAAATCTAGATTTACAAAAAATTGATTTTTCTTTGATTTCCCTCTTCCTTACTTCGGCTTCAAGTAGCAATAAATCATATCAAAGAGTTACTGCTTCCTTGATTTTTTTTCTTCTCGCCCTGACCCATTTGATCAATTGTTTTTGATGAAACATTAAGTCAGAAAGCTTAAGTTTCTTAACTCGATTAATAATCAAATAGCTCTTTGCAGTCGGAAAGGACAAAACAAAAAGAATTTAAACGGCGGAAAGAAGACAGAAGGAAAAGAAAATCTATCATTTAAAGAGTAATTCCTCATTGTGCAGATCTTACTTTCGTTTCTAGTTTAACGATCTTGCTAATGTTCTCAGTAAGGATTTACGAGCGTCCGATAAAGGAGTATCATTTAATTTTAAAAGATACTCTTCAATAATAATATAATATGGCGCCTGGAAAAAGTTAAGAAATATCTTAGTCTTTTCCACTTTCCAAGATTCACTATAGTCATTTGTTGACTGATTCGTTTGTTTAATGGCACATGAACTCCTTATGGACCATTTAATGCCAAAATTAAATTATTTGGGTAACTTTGAAAAAGTAAAAATAAATAAATAAATAAATGTCAAAATTTAACTTTCTTGTGACCTTTGAAGTAATAAAAATATGATATATGTTATTCTGCTTTCACAATTGAATACATGGTAGATAATACACTGCTTTTGCATATATACATGTTTGCGTGGACATAAGAGGCAGTGATGTGTGTTTTATGTCGTAGTTTTGTTGCAGTTATATTTTGGAATACAGTTTGATTTAAGAAATTGTAGCATATAGGATTTTACATGCACTAATATAATGAATGTTCTTCCATGTTCGTTTGATTTTGTTTATCGGCATATCAATCTCTATAATGCCAAAATATAAATATTTTGTCCGTAATTTTATGCTTTCAAGTAAATATATTGATAACACAATTTAATGGCTTCAACTAAATATATTTTGAACGTAATTGTATGTCTTAAAATACAGATAAAAAGTATTGTTGGTAATTTGTTTTATATAAAAATTTATTGCTGGTATTTTTACTATAAAAAATTATATCGCCACTATTTGCCTATAGGTGGGACCTTATCAAATGCTACCACCCCGGGTTAAGGTGAACCTTGGAACAATAGTAATTACGGTAATTCCCCATGTATAATACACCTTCATCCATAATACGCACCACTAAAATTGTTCTGAAAGCGTACGAAAATGCTTCTAATTATATCACAATACGCACCCTTGTCTAGTAATCAAACCGTATAAATTGTACCTCTCCAATTTCATTACGGCCAGCGTTTCCTACTCTTACTTAAAAAAAAAATGATTTTAAACATAGAATAATTTTATTCTGATTTAGTTTTATGATAATTCATATTTTATTTTACGGCTATTTTTTTAAGATTTTTTGAATTTGTGCATAATACATATTCCTGAGTTTGCTTTTTTTTCAAGAAAAATACGTGTTATACATGGGGAATGAAGGTAAGAGGTTGCTACTCGATGTAGTTTATCGTCATGCAAAGGACTAACAGGCATTAGTGTATCTATGATATACTAACACCATATAAATACAGAAAGAAGGACCATATCCCAGAAGACATATGT